GTGGGCCCCATATGTATTGCCCCATTCAAAACCCATATAGAGATTACCAACGTGGGTGCCACATTGGGCTCATGTAGGCAGCCTATATAGGACTGATTGTGTTTGCCCATGTCTGACCCATATGGGTTATGAAAGTGGACCCCATATATTTTTCCCATTCATAACCCATATAGAGATTATCTATGTGGGTACTACCTTGGGCCCACGCAGGCAGCCTATATGGGACTGGTTGTATTTGCCAATGTCTCACCCATTTGATAAACCCAAATGGGCCCCATTTGTGTTCCCCATTTTGAGCCCATGCCCTCATTTCCCATTAGTGACCCAACTAGGACCCACATAGGGAGCCCACCTATTTTTGCCCATGTGGGACCGACGTAGCTGACCCAAGTGGGCCCCAGAAAAGATGCCCATTTTGGGACCATACCCACTTGGTACCCACGTAGCCCAAGCATAAACCATGTGGGGCCCACATATACATGTTGGCTGGGTAAACAGTACCAAATTATGGGTTCTTCGGCTTAACAATAGCAGAACACTTTTTGGTGCTAAATAGAACCCTTTTTAGAAGGTTCCAGAAACCTGATGAGGGTATGGTACGGGACAGAATCTGAAATAAAAAATTGAGTTTAAAAAATTTGCATGTGGGGGCACAACTGCAAACATGGCTATCTTAATATGGTAATGACAGTATGCATGATAATGCATTGTCCCGAGGAGCCTTAAAGTCCATGTAAAGTCAAAATTAAGTATGTGTTCTGAGTCTGTCATACCACAGAAAAATGTGTTATTAGCCACCCAGCCAAATTTGAATGATAAAAAAGCCAGCAAGTACATAAAATAAGCTATCAAAATCATGAAAAAACGAGCAGATTCTCTGCTCTCAAACGCTGGGGGCGTGTCCGCTGGCTGCGCTGAAACCACGCCCACTAGCGGGAAAGCTGTTGACGGTGATATTAGCTGATTAGCTTTTGGAGACGGGAGGATGAACACTGAGGCGGGAGATCGTCGTTTTGGCCCCGTTCACCAGTAACAGCGGATTATGCAACATGACATCATGACTTTTGCGTAAACATATACGCCACTTTCGAGTCAGGTGGCGTGTTATCTCTACGCATTTTGAGCTATCTGCGTGTATCCGCGTGTATGCGTATATGTCTACGCCATTAACGTCCGCGTCATTCCGCGTGTCCGTACACGCAGTCAAATCTCCAGTCATAAATGCCATTAACCCCAGTGATGGTTAAGTTTAGGGATGGGGTTGAGGTAAGTCATATCTTTTTTTTACCTAGGATGGTAAGGGAACAATCATAAATGCCATTAACCCCAGTGACGGTTAGGTTTAGGGACGGGGTTGAGGTAAGTCATATATTTATATAACGTTAAGTCAATGGCGTTCATAAACACGCTGAAAGGCGATTATGCGTCTTGATAGCACGCCAAAAATGGAAATACGAATTGGCGTGTCATACACACGCTACTTCATGAGATCAGCCTGGATTATCAGTGAATCCAAGTTGTCTCTGAGGAAAGTTTATAAAACGATCCAGTGTAAAACGATCACTACAGAGGCGGGTGTTGGGGGTGATCCTCAGCTTTTCATCAACAAGGTTGGCTCTCTAAAAACCTCTTCTTGATGGGATCGTTTTTAGGGGAATTTAAATGAAGATACCGATCTGTTTTGTACATGATCGCATCCAGGTAGTAGCCCATGCATGTCCGTGTCGAAGGCATCTAGAAAACTGTAGGCTTAGCTGTAGTAACTAATAATACTGACAGTCACGCGCGATTGAGCGGTGAATGCGAATGTGCTGCTCGGGGAGTGTGTGTGGAGAGGGGGAGATCAGACTCTGTGCGTCATCAAATAGGGGGGTGTCCAGCAGCTCATGGGCTCCAGTGCGTCATCGAGCCCTGTTTTAGCCCCGCCTAATTAATCCGTAAAATTGCAATGGTGAAAAACTGTTTAACGGTCTAACTCCACATGTCAGTACTTCACAGTCTTTGTAATATGTTTTAGCAATACATATGTAACATTTATAATGCGTTTAGAACATTTTTTGTAGAATTGCCTTTACAGGGACTTTAATGATCCTTGTAGATCTCTATCAAATATAAAAACTGCTAGGTTTACACTTTCAGGTGAAAACACTTATAAATGCAAATTGAAACATGTTTAAATACATTGCACATGTCACAAAAATATACACAAGAGAGACTTTTGCACTGATTTAGCTCAAAGGGATTTATAAATGTCTAATAATCTGCACGTCAAGCATTTTATCTGCCCTTTCCTCTATGGTGTTCTTGTACTGTCAGACACTAGCCGCTAACACCAGACCATGCATCATTGAGAATGAGCAGCAGCGTGAATATATATAAGATATATTCAATTACATTACTTTCAGATGTCTAAAAATGTATTTTAGATATCTTTAAAGATTAATTAAAGTTGAAATTGTATTAGAGATACTGTATCTCTAATTACCTTTATATATGTGTGATTGAGGATAGGCCTATAGCCTACATGACGTCATTACAGATATTAAATAGAATACTAGTCAAAACTTGTTTAGAGATATCTATATTTTGATACTATCTAAAATGTTTTTTATGGATAGTTAAACCATAGTTCTATACGTCAATTCAGCCTGCCATACCACAGTATGTGGTGCTGACGATTGCGTATTCCCCCTCAACCAGTAACCCTATACTCACTATAACTATAAACTCTAATACCCAATACCGTTCTGAGACATGCTGTCTTCATTTGGTTATTATTGCCATTCTCATGGATCTCAGACTCTGCTTGCCACAGTACGCAAGATCAAGATCACATATAGCAAATAGGAAAGATAGGGATCGTCAAGCAAAGTTCAAAGCACATAAAACATTTAGTGATGTTTCACATAATAGGAACATCGTTTGGAATCACAATGAGGATTGCATAATATTTGTCGTGATGCAACATTTGGCTTTTTACCAGACAAATCAGTAACTGAGTGAAGTCTGACTGTGGTAAACAACTGAGCAGTTGACAGATAGTTAATTAACATTAAGATTTCAGGTTACATGAATGTACTTAAATGACATAGCAGTGTGGCATGTGTTTTAAATATATTGTATAGGAAAAACAATGTTTATAATCAAGACAGCATGTATAGAAACTGTACAAGAAAATAGTTTTAGATTTAGTAAGCATATTACATTGCTTAAAATGTCAACAACAACAAATTGGGTAAAATATGGTGCAGTACAACGTTTAATGTTTGTTTTCCTTAACATACTGCCATTAGTTTCACATGAAGATCAGGAAGAGCAGTGTCTCAGTGTCTCATGAGAGTTTCTTCAGCACATGCATACACACAACGGAAGACTTGAGTGATGGAAGGAAAGACACTGTGCCTCAGACTTTATATTAGTTTTTCTCGATTGTTTACACACATTTTCTGAAAGAATGCCTCATATTCTCAGAACTCTACACACAAATCTAAAAACACTCACACAATTGGCAAAACCCCTCAATTCTCCTGCAAAATGAAACTTTACATTCAAAACAATGTTATTTCTTCTCAAAATGGTATTTTGTTTTCAAATGACACACACAAACCATCATATGAATAGAGATTTATAAGAACCAGTTGAACACTGATGTGCTCAATGTAAAACACAATGATCAATGGAAAACACTTCTTCTCCATTCATCATAATGACTTAGGCCTTTTTTGTTCAGTGTTACACTTACTACAGACATTACATACGTGTGTTGTAAAATATTTGAGAATATTGTTTTTTATACCCAGAACACACAAATACACGGTAACAAATATATTTTATTTTTCCCACAAAATCAATGGGAGATACATCCCACATTTTGTACAACCCAACCAACACAAAGTTGCACATACACTGGTCTACATACAAAACAACAGAATTTTTTATGCTGTTACAGTAAAAAAAAGAAATAAAAAAATATCTATGCTGCATCCTCTCTTTGGTTTTGGTATTTTATGCTAAAGCTCTGATTGCTAATTGTAAAACTGTGTGAAATGTGTTTGCCCATGTGACGAGTCAGTGTGAATATTTGAATGGCAGTGTGTTCCTCATGAAAACAAGAGATTTTCTGCATGAAAATTGTGCCAAATGCAGAGAATTGTGTGTAGTGTTTTGAAAAACGTGTGTTTTAGAACTGAAATTTGAGTGTAAAGCAGGAATTGTGCTTGTAGTTCAGCAGAATTGGTTCAGGGAGTTGGTGAATGAGTTACGTGTTGTGGTCATTGTGTCTCAAGTACCCGAAAATGTGTGTAAACAATCGAGAAAAACTATATTTCCAGATTTTTCTCTAAGACATTCATCTATCTATATTTTCAGGCTGATTTCTTTAAAAATATTTACGACACCCATAGCCTACCCTAAGGTCCTTGCACATGGATGTTTTTGTGTACGGACACTGATCCAAGTAAATATTAAATTAGGGTCATCATTTACTCATGTCATTCAAATCCAGTATGATTCATTTATTGATTGATTGTTGTTGTTCTTTATAAAATGATCACTAAGCGGTCCAGTGTTGAAATAAAAAGTTATCCAAGTTATCCAGTTATAATACATGTTTGGAGTGAGGTGCATGGGTAAATGAAGACAATTACATTTTGTATGTTATTTATACAGTTTCACTAGAAAACAGCACATCTATCTATACACTCACGTTCCCTTTCTCAAACTATCAGGACAAACTGGGGTGGCTGAGGGGGGTCACATAAGATGAGCATTTGATTGGCTGCTACCTTTTGCATTCTTTGAACATCATTGGCTACTGAAATCAATGGGGAAAACCCTTCTCTGGCACACATAACCCTTCCTCCCAGTCATGAGTTGCTGCTATGGGCTAATTCTGTACTCAACACTCGTATTACCCTAGGAGAACGAGAGAGAGAGAGAGAGAGAAAGAGAGAGAGAGTGCGTTTCAGTGAGATTAGGAGGGAGGGGCAAGCAAGTTGTGCTCGGGGTGAGGGAGAGGGGGACGGCTTGAGAAGCAACAGATTTCTCGGGAAGCGGACGGAAGGAAAGTCTGAGCAGATTCTAAGACAAGGAAGTACATGGGAAACAAGATGAGGTGGACAAGTATGGGGGGAAAGGGAAGGATGCCTCAAGACAGAACATAAGGGACAAGAGAGGAGTGGAGAAAGTTCTTGTGTGAGCCAAGAACACACATATGAGAAAAAGGTGGGCTGATGGATTAAGGGAAAAAGCAAAGCAGCAGAGCAGTGATAAAAAGCCAGTCTTGTCAGGGGAGAAAAGAGAAAGAGAGAGAAAAAGAGAGAGAAAGGGGCCGTTCAATTTAGAGGAGGGAGGGAGAGTGAAGAGATTAACTGTCTGGGAGAAAGAGAGAGATAAAGAAAAGGGGTGTCGTTGTCAAGAAACACGCACATGAATAAAATAAGGAGGACAGCCGAGCGAGAGATGAATTCGTTGGTAGCGGCAGCATCTGCCTTTGAGAGCTAGCCTAGTTTACGAGAACACATGCATGTTAGCGCTATGTGTGCGCTCGTGAGAGTCGATGCACGTTATGAAGACTCTTATGCTCTGGATCCTTCCTGTTATCCTTCTGTGCTCCCTCTGCAGTGTGGCCTTCTGGATATTCCTTTCTAACAAGTGAGTATATGAGTTTCAGACTGTGTGTGTCAATCCTTCTATTTGGAGAGTGAACTTTAAAGACCTGAGCTGAGTGTTTAAAAAATATCGTTACGGTTTGCTGGCTGCCATTGACCGAAATTAAGTCTTTATTTCTGTCAAGTTAGCAATACATTTTTGCAAGTAAAAATCTCTCTAATCTTTACACTGTCTGATAACGGTTTCACCACAGACATGATTAGTAACAGAGTGGCTACATCATTACAGAGGAATTTTCATTAACAAGAGGATTCTCATATTTTGGGAAATAGTTCAGTTTCAAAATCCTGAAAGGTCTAAACGATGGACTTTAGAAGTTCATTGTTTACTTTGTTTCAGTAAAGTTTCGGATCACATTTCACATTAGTAAATTATTGAAAGTTTTATTTTTTTTTTGGTCTGAACGCTTATCTCTGACATTAATGATTGTGATTTCAGTACACTTTTGACATTTTAAAGCATAAAGATTGATAGCTATACATAGGCTATTACAGTTTTTTTTGATTGCTAAACGAGAGTGAGCACGACTGGAGCTAAATGTGCAAAACTCTAACTACAGTCTGCATTACCAACAGTCACCTGAGCACAACTCTTAACACACGGCTCAAAACAGGCTCAGTGTGCACAACACTATGCACAACCCTCACTGAGATAACACACACTGTCACTCAGAACACACTGAGAGAAAAAACAGTAGCATCAAACACCAATATAGAAAATACAAACTTTTCATCTTTACAGTTTCAACAATTTCACACTTCATACAAAGTAATATTTTCTTCAAAAAAAACAAAACAAAACAAAACAAAAAAAACAGTGACATTCTTTCATTTGATATTTTTACATTTTTAGAACATAATTGAAAATTAGCAGTTTGCTTCAATAGTCTGTAGTAATTTACAGAATTACAGTAATGAGAAAAAAAGGTAGAAACTAAAAGTACATACTGTAATACTGTAACCCTGCCTCTCTCAAGCATTAGGCCACAAGTTTTTAGCCTTTCAGCTGAAATTGTTTGAAAGTCAGCAGTGTGTGAAAGGCACAAGGCTGAAATTTATTCTGTTTTGAATGAGTGGTTCACAGTTGACAGCAGTGTGTTAGCATTTGCACAAAGTGCTGTAAATCCACAGTGTTGTGCAGGTTGTGGTTAAAGTCATGGGATAAGTGTGTAGAGTTTTGAAAACTGTGTTCAAGCAATGAAAAACGATCTAGAGTTTGGTCCACATGAACTGCTGCTGTGCAGACTGGAGTTAGAGTTTTGCACATGTAGCTCCAGTTGTGCTCCACTGTGGTTTAGCAATCGAAAAAAATTGTAATTATTTCAGGCAGAGGATATCATTCCTTCTCTCTCTCTTCACTCGTATCAATATAATAGCATATGCAATGCAGTCATGTGATATATCACTATAAGCTCTTTTTGATACATTTTTTAAAAATATATAAAATAGTTGTTTTTAATGATGTTTTAGTTATCTTTTTAAACACCAATTGACCTTTAAAACATTTAAGAAATTAACTGAATTAATCCAAATCACTATGATTTGTAGAATATAGGTTACATTACAGTATATATTTGCTTTCATTTGACAGAAACTGATTAAAATATAAATGAAGTCTATGTAGGGGAATAAAAAAATCTTCATACGCACAATTATGAAAAAATTTGAAAATGGCATTTATTTCATGGTTCTCTTTAAAAATGTCAGATATATCCATGATGATAAACACAACAAACTATATGATTTATTAAGATATAATTGATTACATTTTATTAAAAGATATTTAAGGATTCAATTACGGATGCAACTTTCTTGGCAATGATTATATGCATCACCGTCAGGTACAAGGGCAAATTAATGCCTTCTGAAGCATGCAATGCGTTTTTGTAAGAAAAAAAAAAAATTAGTATTTAAAAAGTTGTAGGACATAGGTGTAGCGCAAGCTCAGGTTAGAATCAACAAACCGAGAAGCACTGAGAAGTAAAACAAAACACTGGTCACAAATTAGAAGTCCAAAATGAGGAGTTTTGAAAAAATGTCAGAGGATTTCAATGTAAGAGGAGAGTTTTCATACATCGGGTCCGAGGTCACCCTTACCCTGAAACTAAAATCTACAAACATTAATCACTGGCTTTCGGCAACGTCTGTATTCACAAGAAAGTTATAAACATAAATATCTTTCTTACAAAAACCTCATGGATTTCATGTGACGTCACACAGTGGCGCGGCCGCCATTTGTAGGACCGAATCGCGATTGCTAACGTGCCGTCTCCCAGCTAACAAAAAAAGGTCCCCAGAACGTCCCCTAAATGGCCTGTGCGAACGTCCCCCCGAACGTCCCCATGTGGAGTCCGCTTGATGTCCCGCGGACCTTCGCGAAGACGTCCTCCGGACGTTCAAGAGGACGTTCCCAGGACCACCAGCGGCCATCCGGGACGTTTATGGGACTTTCGCGTTCAGTCCCCTGAATATCATTTTATTTTATTTTACTTCTGGCTAACCAAAGAAAACAGACACGGTGTAAGGAACAAAGTAAATTATTTATTTAAAACAATCGTAAAGGTGCCATTTCCGTGTGTGTGTCTTCAAATGCGCTGGCAGCTGTGTGTGTGTGTTTGTCGGTCAGCTGTGGGATTAATCCGATGGCAATTCTCCCCCTTTGGCGTCTAACGGTACCTAAAACAACAAAATGAACATATTCAGTTATGATTTTATCAATATGTGAAATGTAACGTACGTTGTCTCAGCTGTTAGCTTCCTAGTGTTAGCATAACGGTTATCAACGGTACATTGCGGACAACTTCAGCAAACGTTTTAAAAGGTAACATTTTCATATAATTTAAAGATGGACAGTGGTTATGGTGACTAATGTATAATAATCTAATTAAAAATACCTTTTAGACAGACGACGGACAGAGAAAACACAAGGCTGCGTCTGAGAAGGACCGTTAACTGTCACTACGCTAATCAGCTGCGCGTTGCCATGGATACAAACCATAGACTGTGATACAAACCGCGTACATAAGGAATGACGTCACTCGCTTAGGCGCATTTGATCCTATGATTTGATCGTCACTCGCTTGTTTCTCCAATGTTTTTTTTTTTTTTTTTTTTCTGCATGTGCTATCAGTCTTTAGTACAATATGACAATATTTTTCCTAAAATAAATTATTTTTAATAAAATCAGTCACCTTCTCCTGACCAACGTTTGCAGGTGTTTAGCTACTTTTATTTGTCTTACCTGTGTTATTATCAGTGGTGGAATGTAACGAAGTACAAATACTTTGTTACTTTACTTAAGTACATTTTTCATGTATCTTTACTTTACTTAAGTAGAATAAATAGTGCATACTTTTTACTTTTACTTTGTTACATTTTGCAGCAATTATTATACTTTCTACTCCACTACATTTCTACAACTTCTGTTACATTTTCATTACATTTTCTGATCAGTTTTTCCCCTGCCAAAACGTAATTTGACCGTCCGGTCGTTGCACGTTTGTCTCACCAGTGACGTTTGGTTGCCATAGATCTATCTACCTGGTCACACTAAATGCGTCTCGGACGCAGTGTGTTTATCGTGCAATTTATACGCAAAAATTTGTTTTTACGTGCATAGAAAACGCATAGGATTATGGCAAGCCAAGAGGTTCAGAATAACACCATAAATTAATCGCGTTTACTGCCAAAAATAGTTATTAACATATAGTAAGGATAAGCATGATGTGTTGCTATATTTCCTAATTGCAAGCTTGTTTCAGAAATGGTGACAACAATCTTTTTCCATCATTATTGAACATCATTATAGGAGTATTAGGTTGAATGAGTTAGAATTAAATGTTTTATTAATCATTAGAAAATAGTCATCAAGAGAATAAATTGTTATGCAAGTACTTTTACTTTTAATACTTAAAGTACATTTAAAATCAGGTACTTTGTACTTTTTACTTAAGTATGGTTGTCATTGTGTTACTTCTACTTTTACTAAAGTAAATATTTACCTGGATATTTGTACTTTTACTTAAGTACTGAGATTCAGTACTTCCTCCACCACTGGTTATTATCCACTTTCCAGCAATTTTTCATTCTTCACGTTTTCCTTGGCAGTTCATCATTTGAAGTCGATGCATTCGAGCTCCTGGGATTCAACCTCTTCTTGCATGTGGAATAGCCTTTATAAATTGTAGCTCATATTCAATTGAATCAATTGTCATGTTTTTGATGTTTAAATTATAACGGGTGAAAACAGACTCGTGGTATTAGGCTATAGCATCCTTTATTGGTGATTAGAATTTACATGAAGTAACATGAAATTATTATCTTAACATTAAAATACTATGTTTAGCATTAACTTAATATACAATCAATGCAAATATTTGCATTTATATTTTAGTTTAATTATTCGTTTGTCTGAGTTGTAAAATGTCAGTTGATGATAGCAAACGCATGGGCGACTGGATTTTGCAAGTGTTGTCATGGAAATGCCATGTGAGGGACGAAATAGGGACGTTCGCAAACTGGCCCGGACAAATGTCCTCAGAACGTCCGTCAGCGAACGTTATAGAATGGACCAAATGCGAACGTCATCGGAATGTCCGCCAGCGAACGTTACACAGCGGACCAAATGCGAACGTCATCCGAATGTCCGCCAGCGAACGTTACACAGCGGACCAAATGCGAACGTCATCCGAATGTCCGTCCGCGAACGTTACAAAGGGGACCAAATGCGAACGTCATCGGAATGTCCGTCAGCGAACGTTACAAAGGGGACCAAGTGCGGACGTCCTCCGAACGTCCGCCAGGGAACGTTACAAAGCGGACCTAATGCGGACCTAAGGGGACGTTTGAAAAGTCCGGGGGACGTCCCTTGTTAGCTATCTGCAGTGCTGTAAGCTGTGACAACAGCAAATCACAAAGAAATGATAAACTAAAATTTAATAACATTCCCAAAAACCCTGAACGTTGTAAGAAATGGATTTCTGC